GGAGAAGAGGCTGGCCCTGTGGGTACATACCGGGGTCGCAGGGCCCCCTGCGACCCGGTATGTACCCACTGAATGTGGGGCCCGGATGACCTGAGCAGTCCGGGCCCCCCAGGACCGCCGGGCCCATGACAACCGTTGCGGTTGTTATGCCCTGATGGCGGCCCTGTGCAGCACTGCCCCAGGCAGCACCTCTAGTAGCCATTTTAGGAGTGGCCAGTGGAGTTATCCCTAAGCTGTAATGTAAATTTTCTCTGAAAAGACAGTGTTTACTGAAAATAGCATGAAGGGAATGATTCTACTTATAACAAATACAATAGGCTATAGTTTTTCTGGTAACTATTGTGTTCCTTTAAGACAGGGGTTCTCAACCCAGTCCTCAAGGACCCCCTACCAGTCCAGGATTTAGGGATTACCTGGGTGTGTCTAAGGTGTTTAGAAAAAAAAACACCTTAAACACTTTAGACACACCAAGGTAATCCATAAATCCTGGACTGATAGGGGGTCCTTGAAGGCTGGGTTGAGAACCCCTGCTTTAAGACAATAAAGAATAAACATTTAGATAAGTTAGGTAAAGTGGTATACAGAATTATACAACATTCAGCATTCCAAAACATTTTGAATGTATATTCTCAATTGTAAAGAAGAGAAGAAAGGAAAAGAAAAACTAATTCAAACACTTTTTATTCTCGTGTTTAGTCCCTGTCTCGGCTTGTCAGTCTCCTGACACGTATTCTCCCCCCCCTTTCCCTCCCCTGGTAAGAGACACAAACTATATAAATGATAGATGCCTTTACTGCCTATTGAGTTTCATTAAAAAGTAAGGTACTGGATTGAGGAATAGGGCAGTTAGCCATACTTGAGTATAGGCCAGTGTTGTATTTACAGCAAGGCTAACAAGGCATTTGTCTTGGGCAGCACTTTAAGGGGGGCAGCAAAAAATGCCACCCCCCTTGAGTGCACTGGCACATAACTTGTTAGCCTCTTTCATGGGGGACCCAAAAGCTGGCTGGCTGTCCACCTCAGGGTCCCCCAGAGACATGCAGCTGCCAATATTGCGGGCGGGCGGGCATGTTGTGGTTGTCTAATTGGTGACTTATTTTCTCTCAAAAACAATTGATTATGCTGCACTCCCATAGACAGTAACATAAGTCTGAATTTTTGTGTGTGCATTTGAAACAGGATGCTGGGTCTTTTCTAACCATGAGACAAAGGTGGTGTGGAGAATAGTAGGCATAATGAATGCTTTTTAAGAACATGTCTCGATAGGAGACCATTGGTAGTCATTGGCATTGAGTGTAGTGTGCAAGGAGGGCGTCTGTTAGAGAACACATTTTTCTGATATCATTCCATCTGACTAATCCTGTTTGTATCGTGTGCCAAATTGGAGTACATCTTATAAATCAGTATAATTTGGAGAGGGAATATGAGGCAGGGTTTGCATAATAGAGTATCGAGGGTGTTTTCCCATTATGCAGGTCTAAAATGTTGTTTAATAGTGTGGAAATAATGTCACACCTGAAAGTATGTGACCATGGTAATGGAAGGTCTGGGAAACATCCCCCAATATCTACCATGTAAGTCAACTAAAGAACTGATTGTGTGAATACCTTGTAAGCCCACGTTGTGATGGCTTGGTGGTTTATCCCCCCTTGAGAATTAAGCTAATTTTACAACTGAAGAATGGGTCTCCAAACTAATTCCATGTACTCAATTTAGATCCTTGTCCTAAAAGGTTAAGAACCACTTATATCTGTTTTTGGTTTGTTTTGTCTTTCTACTCACTGAACAAAAACATGAATGAAATTCGACATTCCTCCATTCTACGTAATCTTTTCTTTTTTACATCTCCTTTGTGTTTATTGCCCTTTTTACTGTACAAAAATAATTCCTGTTTAATTTTGCTTTGCAACATTTGTGCTTTTATGTATTTTTTGTATTTACAAATTACTTGTCTTTATTTTCTTTTGGTATGTGAATGATCAGTAAAACAAGTATTGAAAGAAAATTAATTGTACATTCATCTAAAGTATGCATAAGTACAGGTCAGTCTCTAGATGAACAGTAAACAAGACTGACCGCGGTAAGCAATGCATTCGTCTTATGTGTAGTGTTTCCATTAAAAAACAATAGATCATTACAGTGTTAACTCACCTTTCAGATACAAGCCAGATTAATGCTATCTTATTTCAATTACAGCTCGCCTCTGCAATTGGAGCTGATATTATATGGAAGGTGGCAACAGAAAAATGGCCAGAACTTTTTGGAAAAGAGAATCCACACAACAAAGAAATTATTGCGATGTTTGGAGACCAAGGTGGACATTGAGCTGTGATTGGAATTCACAAGATTGGTTCTTTGCACATTTTTCTATAGAGATTTTTATTATCTAGAATTTTTTTTAAATGTTGTCAGCTGTTAATCTGTGAATTTGTGGACATTTTAGGAAGGGTCGTGTCCAAGTGCCAAGGTGACATCTAGTTTTCTATCCAGCACAGTATTGTTTTTAGACACATTGTTAAAAGCCATAGGTAATATCCTGATATGTCATTTGGAGATGTAATTTAATTTTAATATGTTGATACAGTGTTTTTATTTAAATTACATAAAATATGTGTTTACATTTTTCACTTCTGTAGCTGCTTGGAACTAAATGGTCCCTAACAGTAGGGCTTCCTGTGCACTGTATGTTATGTGAAAGAGCTCTCACTAGACAAGGCTGCATAGTCCATCAGCAAGTACTCCTCTTCTTGGATCTGCTCAATCCTACACCATAAATCATTCAGAATTTAGTAGGTGCACTGTAAAATGGCCTAGGTCAGGCTTAGACAACCATCTCCTTGATGCTTTGGCAGCACTATGGCTGTAATAGCATTATGGGAAATGTAGTCCACAACATCCAACGTGCCAAAGGTTGCCTACCTCTGGCTTATGCAACTGGAGCACATTCAGAAATCTTAATTTTCACCACATTTTTATCATATTATCTACATGAATTTTCTTCATAGAAATAAAAACATCTTACACATTACATTCATTGTGGGAATGAAAGCAACACTCTAGGGACCATAACAACTACAGCCTACTGTAGTGGTTATAGTGCCAGCTGTGTACTGGTGCCCTCTCAGAATGATTAGTCAAACTGGGATGTAATGGTTATGGTGCTGGAGTATTCCTTTAGTGCTTGTATTATATTATGAAACACATGGAGTGTTGTTTTGTTGCTGATATGTAAATGCAATGGGATTCATAAATAGTGAAAAGATTGATTCTCGGATGCGATTTCTTTCTTTTTTTCTTTTTCTGCTTAGTTTCTGGGTGATTTTCTTTTTTTGTAAATCGGCCTGAATTTTCATACTTCCCAACTATATCGTAGTTTAATTAATAAGCATATGTAATATACTACCTGAAACTGCCCAAATATTTCCTGATTAATAGCTAAAGGAAGCATTTGTGTGTCATCATTGCTGCTAAATGTGATATAAACTCTTTTGGAAAAAAATACATTAAACCTTTGTTCCATGTATTCATCCTGGTCTTTTTGGTTTACGGTATATAAAATGAGTACCACAGTGGATGCAAAACGCACTAGACATTGTGGAGTGCGGCACTCTGCATTTAAGGGAGACAGATGTGTGTCCATCACCTATGGCACTCATCTAAGAGATGGAGTTGAACATCCCTGAAGAATCCTGCAGATAAAATGCCGATCAGATATTGAGATGGACAGTTATGGATGGACATACTATATGGCCAAGAATACATAGACATCACACCTATATGTGCTTGTAGGATATCTCACTCCAAAGCAATAGGCATTAATATGGAGTTGGTCTCCCCTTTGCAACAGCCTACATTTTTCTAGGAAGGCTTCCACAAAGATTTTTGTACGTGGCATTTTGTGTACATTCAACCATAAGGGAATGTGTGATGTCAGGCACGTTTATGTCTTTGTATCCTTAATATGACTCTTTACTAGATCAAAGTGGCCTAGCCCAAACACTGAAAAATACTCATAGAAATGTGTCCTTCTTCCATCAATCGTCACAGTAGGCACCATGAATTCCAGTAGGTAGTGTTTTCCTGGCATATGCTACACCAAGTTTCTTCCATTAGACCAGTTAGAGAAGCATTATTCATAACTCCCGAGAACACATTTGCACTGCTACAGTGTCAGTGGACTTTACACCACTCTATCCAATGCTTGGCATTGCACTTCTTGACAGGGGACTTGGTTACAGGTCTGTATGTGAGGTCTACCACTATGTGGGTGGGCTGAGTTTGCTCCTAGATGCTTCCACGTCACAGTACCAGCACTTCCAGTTGACCAGGGTGGATTTAGCATGGCAGAGATTTCACAATGGTATCCTACGACTGTGGTATGTTTAAAGTCACTCAGAGCTCTTCAGTACGGCAAATTGTACGTTTATGGATGAGAGTACTCCCCTCACATTTTTGTAAATATTTTATTATATCTTTTCATGCAAAAACACTGAAGAAATTACACTCTGCTACAATGTAAAGTTGTAAGTGTACAGCCTGTATAACAGTGTAAATTTGCTGTCCCCTCAAAATAACAAACAGCCATTAATGTCTAAACCGTTGGCAACAAAAGTGAGTACACCCCTAAGTGGAAATGTCCAAGGGGGTTAAACATTTTATAAATATTTATGTGTCTGTTAATCCACCGATTGTACAGCGCTACGGAATTTGTTGGCGCTATATAAAAATAAAAATAAATAATAAATAAAATATATGTATTAAACCGCCGTTATAACTTACCCAATCACGGCCGTTCCCCATGCCGGCGTTCGGTGTTCCTTTCCATCTGGGGGGTCTGACAGCACAGTCAGTCACCCCTCGGCAAATTAGGACCTCGTGGACTATGTGATCGCTCCATAGTGCTGCCTGCAGAAGGACTGCCTCAACTGACAGGCAGTCCACCTGCTGGTGAAAAAAGCCATACTAAGTGTATTCTTTTATTAATATATTATATATATATATATATATATATATATATATATATACACACATACATACACACACACACACACATACAATATAAAAATACACTTCGAGTAAAATAACATATCTATTTATATATATTCTAAAAAATAAATTTAAAAATGCAAAATTACTAAAATACAAAAATTATATACATGTATTTAATTTTATTCTAACTGTATTTTGATATATTTATATCAAAATACACTTAAAATTCAATTATATATCTGTGTATATATAAATAAAAATATACATATGTCCATATACATAATTACATAAATAATTTCATAAATATACACGTAGACTTCAAATATATAAATATGTATATATATTTAAATTCTACGTGCATATTTATGTAATATTTTTACATAACTTAGTAATTTTATTGATTGCAATTTGGGGGACCTGCCTGACAACCCAGGCCAAAAGTCCAGAAAATTTAATTTGCTAGCACTATATTTACCTGTACATGTGTCTTTTTTAGTAGCCACTTAGTCACAAACACTGGCCAAAGTTAGAGTTTCTAATTTTGTTTTTTGCAACACTGGCCAAAGTTAGAGTTTCTAATTTTGTTTTTTGCATTTTTAACACATAAATATAAATGCTAACTTTGGCCAGTGTTTGTGACTAAGTGGCTACTAAAAAAGACTGGACATACCCCATATTGAATATCCTGGGTTGTCTGCTTTAAAAATATATGTACATGTGAGGTGTGATTCAGAGATTTATGACAGATAACAGTGTTACAACGTCACAATTGATACATTTTAAAAATATATATTTTGAAACCGCAATGTCCTACTTGTACTTATAGATAGATATATATATAAATATATTTGTACTTCTAGTCCTATAAAAAAAAAAGCTAATAACATGTTAACATTGGGTATTTCTAAACTCAGGACAAAATTTAGAAACTATTTAGCAGGGCTGTTTTTTGGCGGTTGTAGATGCGCAACAGATTTTTGGGGTCAAAGTTAGAAAGTGTGTGTGTGTTTTCATCATATTTTATATATTTTTTTATAGTAAATGATATGATGATTAAGAAAATAATGGTATCTTTAGAAAGACTATTTAATGGTGTGAAAATTGGAATATAATATGTGTAGGTACAGTTAATGGCGTGAAAATCGGAATATAATATGTGTAGGTTCAGTAAATAAGAGGAAAATTACAGGTAACACAAACACCGCAGAAATGAACGGTAAGAAAATTGAAAAACGGTCTGGTCACCAAGCGTTTAAATACATCTTACCAAAACCTCTGGACCACTCACTGAGAACATGTGTTCCCTTTTAAGAAACATGCAAACCATCTTTTTGTACACTTTATTTCCATTCCATTGGAAATGAAGCCAAATCTTTGCTCCCAACCATTCACCAAGCCACAAGTTAAAGTCCCTAATACGCATCTGCCTGTCATTCGGAGTGTTATGCACAGGCTGATCTTCAGAGAATGACCGTGTGGAAGCAACCTGCCATTTATCATTAGCAAAAACACAAAACCATCATCTAGCCCCGTCTCCCTAAATCTTGTAAAATCTTACTTGTATTCAAGTCTGCAGCTGCTGCCTCTGACCTGTCTGCTTTGCTGACATGATCCAAAGTGATTATGTGAGCCAATCGCAATGCTTTCCCATAGGATTGTCAGACTGCAAGGAGGCAGATCATGGTCAGAGTCAGCACAAGTCAAACACAGCCCTCGCCAATCAGCATCTCCGCATAGAGATGCATTGCATGAATGCATCTCTATTAGGAAAATTCAGTGTCTCCATGCAGAGGGAATGGTAGTGCTATTCACCGTGCAGCACTGCTCCAAGAAGCACCTCTAGCAGCCATCTGAGGAGTGGCCAGTGAAGTTATCACTAGGCTGTAATGTAAACACTGCATTTACTGCAAAAAAAAAAAAAAAAAAGCCTGAAGGGAATGATTATCATCACCAGAACTACAATTAGTTGCAGTTGTTCTGGTGACTATAGTGTCCCTTTAAATAACCATTTTATATATTCATCCATTGATTGCACAGAATTTGTATACGCTTCATAATAAATCCGTTTCCAGATACAGAGTGCCATGATGTCATAAGGTTCTTAATTCTTTGGTGTCCTAAAATATATATTTGTATTCCAGCCTGAAGCAATATCAGGATATTGAGGGTCTGAAGTGATGGTATTTTAATGAAGACAGTCAGTTAATACAGTGATAAATTGATTTCTTATACACCCTATTCCAAATTATTATGCAAATTCAATTTAAGTGTCACAAAGATTAAATATTTTGTTTTTCAGTTTAACTCATGGATGGCATTGTGTCTCAGGGCTCTTTTGATCACTGAAAACAATCTCGGACACCTGTGATAATTAGATTGCCAGGTGAGCCCAATTTAAGGAAAAACTACTAAAGGAGGGTGTTCCACATTATTAAGCAGAACACCATTTTCATGCAATATGGGGAAGAAAAAGGATCTCTCTGCTGCCGAAAAGAGTGAAATAGTTCAATGCCTTGGACGAGGTATGAAAACATTAGATATTTCAAGAAAATTTAAGCGTGATCATCGCACTATTAAGAGATTTGTGGCTGATTCAGAGCACAGACGGGTTGTGCAGATAAAGGCACATTGAGGAAGATTTCTGCCAGATCCATGCATCGGATCAAGAGAGCAGCTGCTAAAATACCATTACATAGCAGCAAACAGATATTTGAAGCTACTGGTGCCTCTGGAGTCCTACAGACATCAAGGTCTAGAGTCCTCAGAACCCTCCAACTGTGCATAAACCTTCTATTCGGCCACCACTAACCAATGCTCACAAGCAGAAACGGCTGCATTGGGCAGAAAAATACATGAAGACTAATTTTCAAACAGTCCTGTTCACTGATGAGTGCCGTGCAACCCTGGATGGTCCAGATGGATGGAGTAGTGAATGGTTGGTGGACAGCCACCCTGTTCCAACAAGGCTGCAACATCAGCAAGGCAGTGGTGGAGTCATGTTTTGGGCCGGAATCATGGGAAGAGAGCTGGTCGGTCCCTTTAGTGTCCCCAAAGGTGCAAAGATGACCTCTGCAAAGTATGTGGAGTATCTAACTGACCACTTTCTTCCCTGGTACAGAAGGAAGAATTTCATACTGCAAAGAATACCTCTGCATCAATGGCTGCTATGGGGATAAAAGGAGAGAAAGTCATGGTGTGGCCTCTGGCCTCAATCCTGTTGAGAACCTTTGGAGCATCCTCAAGCAAAAGATCTATGAGGGTGGGAGGCAGTTTACATCCAAACAGCAGCTGTGGGAGGCTATTGACATCTTGCAAACAAATTCAAGCAGAAACTGTCCAAAAACTCACAAGTTCAATGAATGCAAGACTTGTGAAGCTGCTATCAAATAAGGGGTCCTATGTTAAAATGTAACGTGACCTGTTAAAATGTTTAAAAAGTTAAAATGTTCTTATAAGTTTGATTGAAATAGCTTTTGATTTCAGTAAATATGCTGCAAACACAACAAATTAAAATTTTCAGTTCTTAACCTATAA